ATGATATTTATCATATATCGTACAACATCATAGAAGAAAGTCGTGCACCTCTCCTGCTTATTTTTTTATTTGCAAGGAAACATCGATATTTTACGATGGTTATCGTAAAATTTGTAAAAAAAAATCATTCCACTCAGTAGAGTGTGTCAAATTAAGCGATTTAAAAAAAAGCATAGGTAAGGTTGATATGTCGCAACTCCGCGAAAAAAATCGAAAACAAATCCGTATTCTTTTACATTTCAGGAGAAAGTCTATACTTTACGATAGTTATCATGAAATTTATGAAAAAAGTTTATTCCACCACGTAGGATATGTCAAATTGTGCAATTTTTTTGGAGACGTAACACGTTTTTACTTTTGAAAAGACTACAGGAAGGGGAGAGAATAAATTTAAAATACGATAAATGCTTTTTAAAGTACAGATTTCATTCTTTAAAAGAAAAGAAAAAAGATTTCAAATACGATAATGTTTCGCAGTATTTTAAAATTGAAATTTCGACATTAATTTACCTTTTACGATAATTTTGTTGACGAATGTACTTAGTCAAAGCGTGTTACGCTTTTTATAAGAACACAATAGAAAAACATCCATTCTTGACGTAACCACTTGACAACAGATTAAGATGCACGCCTTCTATCGTAATTATATGTACATTTTTCATATATATAATCACGATAGGAGGCGTACATCATAATCTATCGTCAAGTGGTTACGCCATAGATGTTTTTTTCTGGAGAGACTCGCTATGTCTCGTAGTTATGGGCGGAAGGACGCGGCGAGATACGATTCGCGAGTGTTACGGTCGGCCGAAGGCATCTTTCTTTCCGCTGCCGCTTTCTGTACGTTGATTTGTTGAGACAAAATAATTAATTTCTCAAAAACTATTGCGAATATCGCAAAACGGCACAGGATTTTCTTGTTCACCTCAATCCGTTCTACGTTCTCACCAAAGGTCATCATGGAGGTTCGGGACACCCTGTATATATACCCTGATAGCAAAATGTCAGCAATATGCTGACAAATTGCTGGCAAAATCAATCATCGAATTGCAGCAAATTTGCAGCATGTATACTACCATTATGCTGGCATTATGTCGGCAAAGTATGCC